ACTATTATTCAAGTTTAGGCAACAGCCACTAATGCCAAAGATGAGGAAATTGAAGATTTTTACCAACTTCTACGGTCTGAAATTGATCAAAAAGCATTTATGATTACTGGTGATTGGAATGCAAAAGTTGGAGACAAAGAAGAAGGATCACTAGTTCGAAAATATGGCTTTGGTGATAGAAATGATGCTGAAATTCGAATGATAGCATTTTGCAAGACCAATGAATTCTTCATTGCAAATACCTTTTTTCAGCAACATAAATGGTGACTATACACCTGGACCTCACCGGCTGGAAGACACAGGAATCAAATCAGCTACATCTGTGAAAAGAGACAATGGAGAAGCTCCGTATCGTCACTCAAAACAAGGCCAGGGGCTGACTGTGGAACAGACCATCAATTCCTCATATGCAAGTTCAAGTTGAAGTTGAAGAAAATTAAAACAAGTCCACAAGAGCCAAGATACTACCTTGAGTATATCCCACCTGAATTTAGAGACCATCTCCAGAATAGATTTGACATATTGAACACTAATCAATGAAGATCAGATAAATCATGGGATGACATCAAGTACATCATACATGAACAAAGCTAAAGTCATTAAAAAGACAGGAAAGAAAGAAAAGACCAAAATGGATGTCAGAAGAGACTCTGAAAGTTGCTTTTGAATGTAAAGCAGATAAAGTGAATGGAAGAAATGATGAAGTAAAAGAGTTGAACAGAAAATATCAAAGGATAGCTTGAGAAGACAAAATAAAGTATTATAATGAAACGTGCGAAGACTGGAATTAGAAAACTGAAAGGGAAGAACACACAGGGAATTTCTCAAGATAAAAGAAATGAAGACAAAATTCAAGCCTCGAGTTGAATTATTGAAGGATTCTATGAGTAAAATATTGAATGACCCAGGAAACATCAAAAGAAGATGGAAGGAATAGGTAGAGTCACAGTACCAAAAAGAATTGGTTGACATTCATCCATTTCAGGAGGTAGTGTGTGCTCAAGAACCAATGGTATTGAAGGAAGAAGTCTAAGCTGCACTGAAGACATTCGCATAAAACAAGGTTCCAAGAATTGACGGAATACCAATTGAGATGTTTCAACAAATGGATGCAATGCTATAAGTGCTTACTCGTCTATGCCAAAAAAATTGGAAGACAGCTACCCTGCCAACTGACTAGAAGAGATTCATATTTGTACCCATTCCAAAGAAAGGTGATCCAAGAGAATGTGGAAATAATTAAACAATGTCATTAATATCACACAAGTACAATTTTGCTGAAGATCATTCAAAAATGGTTGCAGCAGTACATTGACAGGGAACTGTCAGAAACTCAGGCCAGATTCAGAAGAGGATGTGGAAAAAGGGATAGCATTGCTGATGTCAGATGGATCTTGGCTGAAGCAGAGAATACCAGAAAGATGATAACCAGTGTTTTATCGACTATGCAGAGCATTTGACTGTGTAGATTACAACAAATTATGAATAACATTTGGAAGAACGGAAATTCCAGAACACTTAATTGTGCTCATGAGGAACATGTACATAGACCAAAAGGCAGTCCTTCGAACAGAACAAGGGAATACTGTGTGGTTTAAAATCAGGAAAAGTATGTGTCAGGGGTGTATCCTTTCACCATACTTACTCAGTCTGTATGCTGAGCAAATAATCCCAAGAAGCTGGACTATATGAAAAAGAATGAGACATCAGTATTGGAGGAAGCCTCGTTAACAACTTGCAATATGCAGATGACACAACCTTGCTTGCTGAAAGTGAAGACTTGAAGCACTTATTGATGAAGATCAAAGACTATGGCCTTCAGTATGGATTACACCTCAACACAAAGAAAACAAAAATTCTCACAGTTGGACCAATAAGCAACATCATGATAAATGGAGAAAATGTTGAAATTATCAAGGAGTTCATTTTACTTGGATCCACAATCAAATCCCATGGAAGCAGCAGTCAATAAATCAAACTACATGTTGCACCGGGCAGATCTGCTGCAAAAGACCCCTTAAAGGGTTAAAAAGCAAAGATGTCACTTTGAGGACTAAGGTGCACCTGACCCAATCCATAGTGTTTTCAATTGCCTCACGCATGGAAAAGCTGGACAATAAATAAGGAAGACTGAAGAAGAATTGATGCATTTGAATTATGGTGTTGGTGAAGGATATTGAATATATCATGGACTGCCAGAAGAAGGAAAAAATCTGTCTTGGAAGAAGTACAGCCAGGATGCTCCTTGAAGGGAGGATGGTGAGACTTCATTTCACATACTTTGGGCATGTTATCAGGAGGGACCAGTCCTGTAGAAGGACATCATGCTTGGTAAAGTAGAGGGTCAATGAAAAAAGGAAGACCCTCTATGAGATTGATTGGCACAGTTGCTGCAACAAGGGGCTCAAACATAGCAATGATTGTGAGGATTGCCCAGGGCTGGGCAGTGTTTCCTTCTGTTGTACGTAAGGTCACTATGAGTCGGAATCTCTTCCATGACACCTAACAACAACATGTGTCAAGCATTGTTCTGTATGTTTCGTATAATTTATTTAATTTAGTTCTCGTGACAACTGTTTGATATAAGTATGATAATTATTTCCATTTTACAAGAAAGGAAACTGTCATGGAAAATGCTAAATAACTTGCTCAAGATTACACAGCTAGTAAATGATAAAGCTGTGATTTAAACCCAGAGCTCTTCCTCCTAAGCCGGTCTATTCTTTTTTTCAATCTATCCCACCAGAAAATCAGCAGTGTTTATTTGGAGGTGTTCAAATTCAAGTCTTAAAAGCTCCGATTATAACAGTTACACAGCTATCCCTGTAGGCTTGTGAGCAATCCTTTATTTATTCTCTTTTATTTTCCATTTGCCCCATCTTTGGAAATCCCTTTCAGTCCAGTAGTTCTCTTATTTCTTGCTGGCAGGTACCACAGGCCTTGGATTTTACCAAGGTAAGCTTTTTTAAAGATCTTGTTATGAAACTGAGCCTTTGTACCCTAGCAAGTGTACTGTAAATGACAAGAGGTGCTTTCCTCAAATCTTAACCTGCTGTGATCATTAAGGTTGTGTGTCACCTTGGCTGGGCCATGATTCCCAGTGGTTTGGCCGTTATGGTGTAGTTTGGTTGTCATATAATAATGTAATCATCTCCATGATGAGATCTGATATAATGTGATCATCTCCACAATGGGCTCTGCTGGGAGTAGCCAATCAGTTGAAAAGGAGTTTCCTTGGGAGTGTGGACTGCATCAAGTATAGGTGGAATTTCTGGCAAAGCTGGTGGGCTTTTGCTTGCTCTGGATCGTGCAGCTACCTCCTGTTCATCTGATCTCCGGTTCTTGGGACTTGAGCTAGAAGCTTACCTGCCGTTTTGGCTGCTGATCTTGGGATTTGTCAATCTCTGCAGCCTCTAAGACAGAGCCCTGCTGTCTGACTTTTTAATTTTGGATTTGCCAGCCTTTGCAAGTGAAGTAACTTTCTACTAGAAACAAGCTTCAAAACCTAATAAGGTAATCTCAATTCTATCAAATTGGCCTTGCTAGTTAGCCACACTGGCTGCCTACTCTGATTCTGCAGCAAGAAAAGGACTGGAGAAAGTTCTAGAAGCTCCCTACTTACCTCCACCTCCCACACTCACTCAGCCACCCACTGTCAGATGCTTTGTTTAGGTACCCAAGGAAACTGAGCGTGTTCAGGTTTTCCATTAATTGATCACGTTCACAACCTCCCTCACTGGGTAGTTTCTGAGTTCCGTATCTCCCAATGAAACATGTCTCTAAGAGAAAGAGACTTTTACAGAATTACAGAATGTTACAGCTAAAAAGTACATACCAAAACCAAAATCAAACCCACTCTGTCGATTCGATTCTGATTCTTAGAGGCCTTAAAGGACAGAGTAGTATTGCTCATAGCGTTTCCACAGCTGCAGTCTTTACAGAAGCAGACTGCCACATACATACATGTGTTGTCTTTCTTAGAACATGTGTATGAAGGAGGGAACTATATTCTTTACCATATGTCATTTTTTGCCCCAATATGAAAATAATGTTACTGATACACTGTAGAACAAAAACTGTTGAGCCCTCCACACCCCAAGAGTAATAAAGGGCCTTTGATGATCCAGTGACACTTTGTAGTACAGTTTATCTTTTGGTCAAGAGTGTATTTGCAGGGTAGCAATTAGATAAGGTATCTACAGCCAAGGAATAGGGTCACTACAATTAGCCCACAATGAAACTAAATTCACGAGCTGGACTTCACTGGCAGGAGCGACCACTAGCTAGGCTACCTAGCCACTGATGATGATTTAATGCACCTATCAGTAGAAGATTTATTTCTGTCACATTTCAATTAAACACATAACTAAATCATATAGACATGTATAAACATGAGAACAGTAGTGAAACGCTCTTGTAGATAATATTAGGGCTAAAACATAGGACTGGAACTTCCATGCAACCATTTCTGCTTTGCGCCCAATGTATCCCCAGGATTTACCTTAGTGCCTTGCATGCAAAACTATTTACTAAATGAATGAATAACTCAGTGAATGAAGAAGTATCCTTATTAAAGAAATAACTTATACATCTACAAAAATCTCATACCTCAAATGCTAATTTGGTTATAACTCCCCCATGGTGGTTAAAAGCCTACCTTCATTTCCATGTCTATCAATATGCCCAGCACAAAGGAGAAATGTGCATGAAAACATAAGAAAGCTATGGACTTCCACCATGCTCACAGACGTACCTGACTTTCTAAATAATCCTGCCGTTTGGAAGCTCATGGTCTTTAAAGTATGTAAAGGTCTTACAAAAGTTCTCATACCTGAAACACAAGAAGCATCTACAGCCATCTCAAAGGGAGCCTTCTGCTTCCAAGAATAATGTCACACATTCACAGGTGCTTCCTGTTTTTTCAAACACCTTGCCCACCTGCTGCACACCAAGCGTGAGTTCTGCAAAACGTGAGCCCAACAGGAAACTGGCTGCAAATTCAGGTAGCGTTTCTGACTCTTAAAGATATCTTGAATGTACTTTCAGAGAAATGCCTGCAAAAGCTGTAGGGAGGAACAAGTCTGGAAGAAAAATATGCAACGGACAAGCACCAAGAGGGTGAGAATGTTTTTCGGTGAAAATGCTGTCCGCAAGTTACATTTTTAAACAAATAAATGTGTTTTATAAGGTGGTGCAGTGGTTAAGAGTTACGCTGCTAACCAAAAGGTCAGCAGTTCCAATCCACCAGCTGCTCTTTGGAAACCCTATGGTTCTACTTCTGTCTTATAAGGTTGCTATGAGTCGGAATTGACTGGACAGCAACAGGTTTGAGTTTTTTTGTTTGGTTGGTTGGTTGGCTGTTTTTTTCTTGACTCCTGTGGGTGGGATTAAGAGAATTGGTTGCAAGTGGGTGGTATTTGTTGTTTTCTCCTGGTGCGAGGAAGGAGGAAGGAGGAAGGTTGAGGTAGGAAGGATGCCCACGTGGCCAAAAAGCCCATTTTGGGGAAGGATTACTAGGAAAATTTTTGTATTTCCTTCCTGAGACTTCAGAACCAGCACTGTGAAATGAGCATGTAGAATATTGATTAAATTGTGGTATACAGTTCACAGTAATCTTTGAGTGAACTATCTCAGGGAACGTCATCTTACCGCGGTCACTCATTGCTCAGGGCTTCAGTAGTACTGTATGAGAGTTTCCATTTCTCCATAGCCTTGACCGCACTTGGTATTCAAACTTTTTCCAATTTGTTAGGTGTAAAATAGTATATATTATTTTAATTTGCACTTCCATGCTATCAAATTCTTGCCTGCTCCATTGCACAGAATACTAAACGTTTTTCTTCTATTTCTCTTGACACCTCCCCCAGTCTAATTTCTTTCAGGACTAATCTAATTCCTTTTAGTTTATACTACTTTCTTTGTCAAATTAGTCACCATTTTTCTCCAATACGTATATCTCAAAACAGGCACTTACTTTTTACAATAAAAGAGAAAAGGTAAATGATCTGCTTAAGTAGAGATAATATCCTTGTGCCAATTTTAAGGTTCAGAAAACATTCTTTGATTTTCTTTCCAGTTTTCTTTTTCTTTAGTCCTCCCACCAGTTGGCAACCACAGTAAACAGCCAAAATACTACATGTAAAGTTGTATATGTGATATTTGCATCTTGGTTTAGAAAACGAGCTAGCCAAAAATCTGACAAAGTGGTCTTCTTGTCACTTTCCTGTCCTTGGCCAGTGGTGAGGCATCTCAGACATAGACAGAACCCCACTGAACTTGAATCATCTTGATAAAGCTCAGATAAGCACCTAAATTCTGAGATAGATAGACAGGGATAGATGGATGGATGGGTGGGTGGGTGCATGGGTGGATGGGTGGGTGGGTAGACAGACAGATAGAAATTTTAAATCCCTGGATTTCGATGGGAAAATGGATGTTGCTGTTTTTCTTCAGAAAATCTTCCTCTACTTTATGCAGTTCACACTGTACTTTCCTCTCTTATTCAAACAGGGTTTAGAAGAGCAATCTGGTTTTTATCTCATTGAAAGCATCAAAATATCCAACAGTGTCAGATTGCTAAATAGATCATTATACAGTTACAATAAACATTATAAAGTCTTTTTTTAAAAGGTCATTGAAGAATCTTAAATGAGCTGAAAAAGGTTCATAAGATAATATTCAGTGGAAAATAACTATATATTTACATACCCATATCAGTAGCAGTTATGCCTCTATCAATCTATTTATCACCATCTATCAATGTAGACAAAGGTCGTATGTCAAAACATTAACAGAGTATCTTTGGGTGAAGAGGTTGTGAATTATTAAACATTTAAAAATATATTTACGATTTTCCAATAGTCTTACCATGAGCATGCATTATTTTTGTAACCCAAAATGATTAGAAAAAAGGTACTTATTAATAAAAAAGGAAGATAATCTGACAAAGGTTCCAGGAGAACTTAGTCTTACAGTATAGAAGCTTTGATAAAGAAAGAAAAGTTATTCTTCTTTGTGTTGATAGCTGGTATTCCCATGTCCCCTGAAGATTCCCATCCATTGTAGCATGGGGGATTATTCTAATCTCCCAAGAATTGGAAGGCATTTCATTATAGGCAGGCATTCATCATTACAAGAGAGTTGGAGTACTCTAGCTGAGTTAGGACTCTCCTTGAGGCTAGAGAAGAACTCAGTTGCACTATTATACGGTGATGTCTTAGTTACCTACTGCCACTATAACAAAAAATACCTCAAGTGGTGGCCCTAAAGAACAGGCTATATGTCCAAGTCAGGGCATTGGCTCTAGGGGAAGATTCTTTCTTGTTGGTAGCCCCAGAAGTTCCTTGGCATTCCTTGGCTTATAGATGGTTCTTCACATGGTGTCTCCCCACTGTGTGTGTACGTATGCATCTGTATTCCCCTTTGTTAGACAATACTCAGAAAACAGATGGCCAGGCATTTCTTAGAGCTGATGGGAGGGTTTGAATCATTATTCTTTCAGTTAGCAAGCTGAGGGCTTAACTGTTTCTGCCACCTGATAACCACTAATAATCTTTGGTTTCTATGTGTTTGCTTAGTTCACGTGAGTGAGATCATACAGTATTTGTCTTTTTGTGACTGACTTATTTCACTCAACATAATATTTTCAGGGTTCATCTGCGTTGTGGCATGCATCAGAACTTAATTTCTCTTTATGGGTGAGTAATATTCCATTGTATGTATATACCACTTTTTGTTTATCCATTTATCTGTTGATGGACATTTCATTTGCTTCCATGTTTTGGCTATTGTGAAAAGTGCTGCAATAAACATTAGTGTACAGATTTCTGTTTATGTTCCTGCTTTCACTTCTTCTAGGTATATACCTAGGATAGGGATTTCTGGGTCATATGCAGTTCTATGTTCAACTTTTTCAGGAACTGCCAAACTGTTTTCCACAGCCACTGTACCATTTTATATTCCTACCAGCAATGGATGAGGGTTCCAGTGTCTCTACAATCTCCCCAGCACCTGTGGTTGTTGTTTTTTTTTTTTTTTTTTTTC